ATAAATATATATATATATGTGAGTGTTGTGTGTGTGTGTGTGGTTGTGTGTGTTGTGTGTGTGTGTGTAATATTATATATATATATATCATATATATATATATATATATATATATATATAATATATATATATAGGTATATATCATTGTGTTGTGTATGTATACACCCACACGCACACACCACACACACACACCACACAACACCACACAAACACACATAGTTAATTATATATATATATAGTATATAATTATATATTATATATATTATAATATATATTATAGTATTGATTATAATATGTATGGTAGTATCCGTATCTAATCTATCTATCTATATAAATTAGTATAATATATAATAGTATATATATAATAATATTATTATATATATATTATATATATATATATATAATTATATATTAAGATATATATATAATTATATATATATATTTATATATATATTACCATAAGTGACCCAATCAGGTAAGCGCGAGTCTCTTTGATTTCAACTTGTCAGTGACGTCATCGAGAACACAAATGACGTCAGAGAAAACCTCTCGGATCCTTATTTATTTCTGAAGATGTCTGTTCACGCCCCAGAGAGGAGTTCAGTCACGTGAGCTGAGCCTGTGTGGGTGTTGTTGTTTGTTTGTTTGTTTGTTCTTCCTTCTTCCTGTTTCCTTTTTCCTTTGCCTTTTTTTTCTTTGTTTTTCTTTGATATTTCATCCTTCTTTTCTACTCCCTTTTCTTTTTCTTCCTGCTGTTTGCTCTCTCTCTTCTCTCTCTCTTCTCTCTCTTTCCTTATTTTCTTCCTCTTCTTCTTTTTCTCTTCGTCCTCTCTTTCTTCTTTAATTTTCCGTTTCTCTTTTCTGGCTTTCATTTCTTCTTCCCCTTCCTGTTTCCTGTATTTATCAAATTATTTTCTTGGAAAGTTAGAAGAAATTAAAGAAAAAAACAGAAAAAATCACGAGAAGAAAACGTGTCATAAAAGGGATAGAATGTGGAATAAAGAACATAAAAATAGATTTCTTCAATAATGTAAATAAATCAATTAAATATCAGGATTGCGAATGAGGGAAGAACAATTAAGAAGGATTTGATGACGAAAAATGGGAAACTTGGAAAGATGACACAGTTAAAACAAATATTGCCAAAAATTCCTATCAGACGAAGAATAGAATAGAAGAAGAGAAAAAGGAAAATATAAACAATATGTGCACACAAAATCGAAAAAAAACGAACTGGAAAAGTCGCCTCTGACCACAAAAAAAGAGGCAAAAAAGAGCCATCCAACAGGTATTCAGACATTTCCCTGAACCACAATATCTACATCCGGGTACCGAACGAAAAGACTGAGTTGCCAAACATGGATTTTTTTTTTATTCGAAGACCATCCGAATGAGTTGCCAAGTAGGGCATTATTGGAGACTATGGACCTAAGTCCTGCCTTAAACCTCGCCATTAAAGGAAAAATATGAACGTTAAATCCCGAAGATTTATAGTCTTCAGCGTCGCGTTATGTAGTTCTAAGCGCAAGTGTGACTTGTGTTTTGTTATGTTCCATTAGGTGATTGTGGAAAGTATTGCTGCCATGAGGTGCATAACAAAGACAAGTTTTTTTTGTTTTTTTTGTGTGTGATTCTTAGATATTGTATTCCCTACACCATTTAGTTAGCTTATTGTAACTTTTTTTTGTTGTCTTCTATTTTTTGTAAAGGTATATTGTTTTTTTCATATAATTAAATGCGCGTTTATGTGTCTACAAAAAACAAAAAGACCCAACACCAGTGACTTTTAAGGTAGCAGCCTGGGTCATGTGTCTCCTAAAGTTTATGCATAATGAAAGGTATGATTCAAATAATCCTGAAGTGTATGGGAACTAAATAATAAAATTAGCAATGTAATGGTAATACTACCAATACGAATTTGATGATGATTAATTGATATTTGATAATGTGTGATAATAGTTTGATAATAATAATTGTAAAGATAATCATAAAAGAAAGGATGATAAAGATAATGATTTGATTAGGCACATAATGATGTATGATTATATTAGCTAATGATAATGATAATAACAGGGATAATTTGGATGTTACCGCATGTTGATAATGATAATTGAACGGTAATAATATAAAGATAATAGTATAGTAGTAGTAAAAAATAATAAGAATGGATGGTAATAAAAATAGATGGATAAAGTAAGTAATGATAATGAATATAATTGACTCATGCCAATCATAATTAATGTGTAATAACAATGATAATACCTATAACAATAACAATGTTAGTAATGCTAATAATGATAATAATTTAATAACGCTACTGCTAGTAATAGTAATGATAATTGAAAATAAAATAATCCATGGTAATGAATAATTAATAATTACGATAACATTGATTCTGATTAACAGAAAGTTGGTGATGGTCGTTATGGAAGTATCACAAGAATCTAGATACTAAACGTGATGATACAGGACAATGATATACTTGAGAATAAATTCTACTAGCTTATCTATCTGGTGTACAGTTATCTTCATCTTATGCTTACTGATGTGTATCTACACTATATCTCATGTCATATCTATCTATCTACCCTATCTGATCTACGTGTTGCGTGTGCTGTACATTACATCTTATCTTATTCTGTCATCTGTATCTATCTATCTATCTATCTATCATCTTCATCTATATACGGTTACTATATATATATGATATATATATTATATATATATACTATAATAATATATATATATATCTGTTACCTTGTGTGTGTGTGTGTGGTGTGTGTGCGTTGTGTGTATTGTGATGTGTTGTAGCTGTGTTTATGTGTCTATGTGTGTGTGTACTGTGTGTGTTTGTGTGTGTTTGTGTATGTGTGTGTGGTATGTGTGTGTGTGTAGGTCGTGTGTTGTGTGTGTGTGATGTTGTGGTGTGTGTGTGTGTGTGTGTGTGTCGTGTGTGTGGTGCATGTGTGGTTGAACATCTTATCTATTCATCCGTGGTATCGTATATCAATATATCTTAGTCTATCTGTCTACTTCTCATGAATATATGTGTTGTGTATGCAAGTACGTCTATTTACCTTACAACCCAACACACACACGAACAGACTTCTTCTTTTTTTCATGTACGTATATTTACTTACATAAACCCAAACACACACACGAACAGACCTTTTTCTTTTTCATGTAACGTCTATTTCTGTACATACCCAAACACACACACGAACAGACCCTTTTTTTTCATGTACTGTCTGTTTCCTTACATTAAAACCCGAAAGCACACACCACACGACACCCTCTTCTTCCTCCTCCTCCACCGTGGCTTCCTCGAAGGGATGGGAGGACCCGCCGAGAAAACAGGAGAACCCTTCTGGCACGACGTCTTGGCTTCGTCGGATAACAGGCCACCCGCTTCGGGAGTGGCGAGAGGGAGAGGAAAGGAGTGAGTAAGAAGTCCTTCGAAGAAGTTAGTGGATCCCTAAAAGGCGCTGGGTCGAATTATTGAAGTTTGTCTGTTCATTCTTGAAGTGGTTAGCTAGCTGGCCGTCAAATAGGCATTTAAATCCTAATGTGGTTTAATTAGTCCGAGTCGCTTTAATAGGCATTCAAATCCTAATGTGGTTAATTAGAATCCGTCCAATAGTCAACAAATCCTATGTGGTTAACTAGTCGAATCCTTCAAGTTAGGCATCAGAATCCTTAATGTGGTTAATTAGAATCCTTCAATAGGCATTCAAATCCTATTATTGCGTTATAGTCGGAATCCTTTCAATGTCGACTCAGATCCTAATGTGGTTAACTACTTAAATCCTAAAGTGGTAAACTAGTCCAATCTCAGAGTGGATTGTTGATTCTTGAAGTGGTTAATTGATTCCCAAAGTGGATCTGAAAATTAGTTGTGTCTATCTTAAAGGGTTTAATCGTCATTAGAATGTGTTGTGTAGATTTCAAAAGAGTGATTAGTCGGATCCTAGAGAAACGATTGTTGGAATACTTAAAGTTGTAGTCGAATATTAGATTAGTTTGTCGACCCTTAAAGTGGGTTGGTAGTCGAATCCTCAGAGAGTCAAATCAAGTCCTCAAGTCGAATCCTAAAATGGTTAATGAATTTTTTAGGAAGCGATAGAGAAAAATTCTAAACATTTGAATTTACGATGAAATAATGTTGTTTTTTCTTTATTATGTTAACTACATTAGACTATTGAGAGAAAGTGATCTTTTCTTTCGTTATTATTGTTGTTATTTTGAGAAATACAGCAATGAAAAATATGACTATTTTGACTGAATTAGGCATTTTACCATAGTGAGCAGTAAAGAGGATAGAGGCACAGACAGGAAAGAGACGTTATATGAGTTGGGTGTGTGTGACTGTTTTATTTCTTCAATATATTTATTTATAGACACAAATTATATTCAATATAACAAAAACATATAATATAATTAGTATTATATAATAATATTATATATATATATAGTATATTATATAATATATATATTATATATAGTATGTGTGTATGTGTGTATGTGTGTGTGTGGTGTGTGTATATAGTGTTATAGTTATATATTTAGGTATATATAAAAGTATGTAATAGTATAGTATAAGTAGATATATATTATATATATATATATATATATATATATATATATATATATATGTATGTACTATATATAAAATATATATATATATATATAGTATATATTATATATATATATATATATATATACATATATATATATAATTATATATATGTATATATATTTTTTTCTGTGTTATGTTATATGTATATGCATATATATGTCTGTTGTGTATGCTATATATTTAGTGTGTGGTGTCTTATAGTATTATATATATATATATATATATATATATATACTATATAGATATATATAATATATATATATATGATATATGGTTGTTGGGTGTGTGTTGTGTGTTGTGTGTGTGGTGTGTGTGTGTGTGTGTGTGTGTGTGTGTGTGTGTTACACACACACACAGCACACACAACACACGCACCACACACACACACACACACAGGTTATATATATATTATATATAGTATATATATTATATATATATATTATATATTAATATATAATAATATATAA